CATTCTTCAGTGCCACAAAGATTCTGGCCAACTAATTTGCGTCCCAGCAACACTAGGATGTTGGAAAGACTGCAAGTAATGAGCAATTGAGCAATGAGTCGAGTCATGAGTCTAAAATGTGCTTGGTGCACAAGTGCGACTATTAAAGAAGCTGGGATACAAGCCAAGCTGTCACACAACATCCGTTTTTACAAAACCCTGATGGAGCAGCTTGCAATCACCTTTCTCTCTCTCTCTCTCTTGCTTTGGCAGTGTGCCTTGGCACCCTTCATGGGCAACCCATCACAAGGCCGACAAACAGTTCGAAACTCTGGCTCAAGCACTTCACGAATCTTTATCATCATATAAATATAAATGATCTCGTCCGACAAAAGGAAGAGAGTTCGGTTTTACTGTTGCTGTTCCCACGTCTGCAGTATGGGCTCCGGACTCTGTAGAGGCAGAAGAGGCCCAAAATGGTGCCGAGGATTATAGTAATTGTGAGGACCCTTGGAGAGTAGCACGGTGGTGAATGAGATGGCTCCGCAAGCTTCAAGGCACTTCAGCCAAAATCCCTTCCAGTCCCAAAGCGGTTGGCTCAACCCTTCCAAGTGCTGTTGTGCGACATTGCTTAACACTGAAGCTTATACGACTACGACTACGAGTGCAAAGCCTCACGACTTTTGGAGTTGCTCCTCTACTCTCAGAAATATCCAAGCACTCATCGCCGCCGAGCGTCTTCCCCGGTGCGCTGTATCGCAGCTGAAAGGACCACAAAGCGAACATGGCAAGGAACCTGAAAGACTCAAGTGGATGCTTAGGGACCAATTGCGTCAAAGTGCCAAACTTCAAGCCGCGTTGAAGACTTCAAAATACTTCAAAGCTCCAATAAAGCTGCTTACGACAACTCGTTTAACCCAGCGATTGTGCTGCTCCAAGCTCCCAGCACAAACCAAGGCACGAAGAGCGAGACTAGGACGCCGATTAAGTTGATCCGCGTTCGGGTGGTCAACTGCAAAGTCGCTTTGCACGTTCAGGTAGTCAAATCCAAAAGCAACATTCGCGTGCAAGTGACTCAAGTGATTCAATACTATGACCATTTCTGATGCAATCTGGGCAACCTGTCTGGTTTCTTTTCTTTCATCCACATTCCTTCTTAATTACAGACACATTGAATGATGCATGGAGTCTGAAAAAGTTGCTAAGCTCCTTCTGGTGTGCCTGAGGTGGCCCCATCAAAGGCTTGGAAGGTCCCATCTCCTGGCCACTGCTTGGCCAGAGCGGCCAGAGTGACATTCCTTATCACTCTTCAGAGGTCACTATTGGGATGCATTTGGCAGCACATGCAGCACCTTGACTTGTGAGCGGCAAGTGCCTTAAGAAATCGTATTGCAAAAGCGAAAGCGAGACTGTCCTGGCCCTGGAACTGGGCATATGGATTTCCTGACTGTTTCACTGCGTGAAAATCCTCGTGTCGTTCAACCCAATACGAAAAGTCTCGGAAACAACTCGAAGCGGACCTGAGGCACCATAGTTGTCCTGCGCATTCTGTACTTGAGTGAAGCAACTCCGTCACATTGGAGTGGGGTGTGCCCATGTTTGCCCCGCCCCTCAACCCATGGATAGCCTTGCCATACATCATCGAAGGCTGCTTGGTTCTTCTAGCCTCCAGGTACAAGAAAAACATGTTCAACAATTGCCCATCCCAAAGAATTCGCCCCCCTTGCATCACTACGCTGAGATCTCTGCAGGTGCGACTCTGGAAGAGTCGCTCTGAGTAGTTCACTATCAGGAGTAGTTCACTCCGAGCTCTGAGATTTTGAGCCCAAGTTCTGCGGAAGGATTGGGTAAAACATGTTTTGTTTGTCGGGTTGCCACTTTTGCGCATGCAGCTGCAGCAACATTCTTGAACGCACCTTTTCTCACAAAAAGATCCATATGGCTCAGGAATAGTTAGCAGCAACTCGTCTTGTAACTCGAAAGAACTATGGACGGCCAACTGCACCCTCGTTGATCAAACAAACAATGCATTACTTTGATACACAAATCAATTTTGACACAAACTCAGGGCTGCAATGCGTAAAGGTAATCAAGCAAGCAATGCTTGGCTGCCAGTCAGTGCCATCAGAATGTGCCGTTGTTTGCGATGTGCCATACACATCATGTGCACCTTCTGGCCTTCTGGTTCTTTCTTTCAGTTTACGAAGTAACACCCCAACTGACGTGCCAAACTTGCAGTCGCAGCCTGCAATCTACTGCCGCACATGCATGGTGCTGCGGTCAGGCAAAACGTCCAGGTGGCACGAGCCACGTGCACGGTGCTCCATCCAGTCCTGCAAGCTCTGCGAGACAGGAACTTACATTGACGCCACTCGAATCCTCGTCCATTTGGCACATGACCCTGTGAAGAAATTAGAACGGAGGGGACGAAAGCCACCCTTTCTGGGTAACTTGCTGCTAGAACATGCTAGAACCACCTTTAGAGGTGCGCCTTTTTACTGCGAGACGGTCCTCAAAGAAGGCTCAGAAGAGCTCCAACCCAGAAATGCGGCTAAGGGTGTTGCTTCGGCTCTCTGCATATAGATATGTAGAACACACTGTCTTTCAATACCTGGACCTGTATCGACTATTCATCTCAAGCAGCGGCTCGCAAGATTCAATCAAAGTGCTCAAGGATACATCTGCCATGTCCTGCTTTGTTACCGGCCTTATTGCCAGAACCCGCTCTTTGTGCCCTCTTTTTGCCCAAGACGGCCCTCAAACAAAGCGCCAAGGCGCAAAGGGGCATCAACTAAGAAACTCCGGCTCCCTGCATCGTTTGCCCCCACAGAGTCTGCCAAAACTCAGCTCATGCTCGAAGATGCCTTGCTTGCATCATGGCCACCACTACTATTGAACTTCTTCGGCATCACTCGCATCACCAAGCCCCTTCTAGAGGTGAATTTGCGCAACCCTTTTGCTCGCTTTCTCTCCCGACAGGGCCTTCCACGCGACCACCCCCCCCAACACCCCCTAATGCTCACGTCCTTCGCCCATCTAGCACCTCATCCCAGCCTATCGGCTGGCTTTCATAACTATGCAATCTGGTGGTTTGTCAGATTTGGGCCGCGTGAAAAGGCTTATTTGGACTACAAATCGACTGACGTGCGAATGGTGCGTCTGGTGCGCAAGCTGCAAGAATGCCGGTGAAACCCAGCTCACAAGAACATGTGTACACAGTTGTACACTTCAGGTCTTGGGTTTGAACAACACATGTTGAAGGACTTATGTACAATTTGACCGACCACACACACATCCCGCCGGGCTGACAACTGTGCCTGCGTTTTTGCATTGCGTGTATCGTCAATCTGCAACTAGTGGGTTCAAAAAGTGTTAAAACCTCCGTTTCGGAGCATTCGACTTCCCAAAAGTTTTGGAGCATTCGACTTCCCAAAAACAAGCGCCTCGCAGTCTCAGTTCCAATGTGTTTCAACTCCAAATCGTGTTTTGCTGAGGCGAGATTGCGTTCTCATTCAAGTTCATCCCTTCAACACGCATCTTTTGGGGGACTGTTCAAGGGCATCTTGCTATCTTTTCTGGTAAGAGAGCTTCGGCGTCCAACAAGGTTTGCAACTGCGTGTCCTGTAAAACGACGTAACAGGAAAAACGAAGACTGCACAGCAACCACTTAGGGCAGCCATGCTACCCGCCAAATCACGTGAAACCTTGAACCATCGAAAGGCGTAAACCATCGTGACATCATGTCCATGTGTGCACAGTCAGTCACGAAAAGAAAGGAAAGGAGCATCGCCAAGACAAAATCAAGAGCATTTGGCAAAATGGAACAAAGTGGATGACGTTGAGGAAATCACAGAATGCATGCGGCATTGCCCCCAACCGACCAACTCCCCCCAAAGACGAAGATGCATGTGATTCGCATAATGGAACAAAATGCATGATCGAAAAATGCCGATGGCCGATGATGTTGGACATCACGAGCGTACGTCATTACCGCCCCACCCCCCCACCCACCCCACCCAAAGGATGAAGATGCACGTGATACACATGATGAGACAAGGCAGAAAAAGTCAATAAGATTCTTGGTTTTGGGCGATATTACAGGCAACATAATCAACAAATTTACATTCCCGAAGAGCGAGCACAAAAATCGAAACACAATGGAATTTCAGCAAGAAAAACAAAGGCAACACATGCAATGCACTGTTGCCATGGATGAACGTCAGAAAACGCTGTTATTTGGTGCTTTGATAAAAAGTGCACGACTACTAGTGCGGTTCTCAGCCCACTAGCACAAATCATCATTGATGTCTCTGACCCATCCACGTATTCTAAAGGGATAAGGTGTGGATTATTCTGAAGCGCATTTTTGGTCAACGGTGGAATTGCATAAAGCATGCCTCTGACAGTGGACGATCCCGTCCTCCAATTGCGATTCAGGGCATGCGGTCTGAGCACGGTAATACTGATATTTGCAGCGCGTGTCCTCGCTGTGGCTTTGAGTGCACCAGCTTTTGAAGAATCAGTCTATGAGTCATAATAGGACAGCGCTTTGCAAAAGCACAAGAATGTCTCTCTCCTCTTCTCCCAATTCACGAGCGCAGCGAGCAAAGACGGTGAAGCGGAGGATGCAGTTGTTCGACTGGACGAGATGGAGGGCATGCTGGAAAAAACACCCTCACTCACACATGCCTGGTTGGTCAAAGTCAGGAACCTCGGGTCATCCTGCCAAGGATCGGAGCTGGAAACAGTCTTCCTCATGGCAATGGATTGAGGCATGAAGGCACTAGACCCGAACAACAAGTCTGCATCCAAGAGCTGTGGTCAAAGCATATTTGTTTCCTTCCTGAGCATGAAGGGTTGGTAAATTACTGTTGAATCTTTGCCCTTCTCCTCAATTCATCCCCTTCACCCTGAACGCGCTGCAGGTCTTTGTGGCTGTCGGCTCTGTCGGCAGCTGAACTAGAGATGTGGGTGCCCGAGAAGATATTGCACTTGATGCTGATGTCACTTCTGCATGCTGTCCCATGCTGAAACGGTGCAATTGTGGTGCAACATCCCCTGTCCAGCTTGCGCTGACGCAACCAGCTACAGTAAGAAAAACTGGGGATTGCTGGCATTTGGCAGCGATTCTGCCGATGCCAGAAACTCACAGATCTCCATCGATTTCCGTGAGTTCAGGATTCTGCTCCAAAAAGCTCCTGGAAGGAAGTGAAGGAAGTTGCATCTTCGATAATTGAAAGCCCAATGGCTGCTTCCATGCAGAAAGCAGCTCCATATCTTGAAGAACTGAAGAGAACATGAGATTGAGTTCAAGTGCTTTTCATTCTTTTCACAGAAGGTTCTACTTTGACGTGTTAAATTCTAAAGTTCTACAGTCAGAGTTGGGCATGAGTCAGCGGCATGACTTCATGACTTTTGCAAACGCGGTCCTTCGTTGCTCAAACCTTGGCAACTCTGGGCATCACTATTCAGTGCCACGGGATATACTGCAATCGATTATACACTTGGTTGTGGTGGACGGACGTCCCAAAAAGAACAGCGGGCTTAGTGATGAGACAAGCCAATTCTTGCGGGCACTTGAGTGATTAATCCCACAACTCAACAAACAGAACTAACTACTGTACTGTACATGTCATCAACACTTCTTCATCCACTGTCTGCTGTTCAGGTATGGCCCCTATTCGATCACACAGCTATCCCTTTAGGCAAGGCACCATGGTGGCCAATCCAAACGCTCTGTCGGAGAAGAAACGGCTGATCTCCTCCTCAATAACCTTGGGAGGCCTGCAGGCAATCACGCTTCCAAAGGTCTACTCTAGATTGATCTGCTTCCAGGACATCTCTTCCGCCCCATGTCAGTGAAAGAACATCTTAGATTGCCCAGAGCAAAGAAAGACAGACGTGCTCTGTCCGGAGCACATACTGTATAGGCACTGCGTTGTGGTAGAACATGTGAGGAAGGAGGGAACTGAAGTTTCCCTAAAAATCTAGGAACCAAATGAATAGTGCGAGTGCTTCTTCAAGGAAGCTCCCCCCCCGCCGCCCTCATCCTGTGTCGTAGGTAGTAGCTACTTAAGCTACTAGCTACCTACAAGTAGCTTCTACCTAGCTTCTTACCTCTACAGCCTACCCCCCGTAAAAAGTATGTGGTGCACTGTTTTGAGCCACTGTTCGAAAGGAGTGTTTCTCGGTACTTCTCCAGACCCGCACGACACTTCTGGGCCTCTCATCACCAGGGTATACTTCCACGTCACCAACCACTGCGGTTTCCCTTAGCCAACGGGTGAAATGATTTGACCAATTCATTTTGAACTCTTTGAAGGGAATGGGATGAAATGTGTAAACCTAGCCACAGCAGCTTTGCACAGCTCTTAGCAAACTGTTTCTTGAAATCAATTCAAGTGCTGCCTGCTCATCCAAGGACTCCCACCTGGCTATTGTCGAGACCCCGAAATACATGTTTGACTCCCGAAAATAACATACTGTAATCCTGTAGAAGTGATGTAGCAAACTCACGCTATATTCAAAAAACGACTTGATCTGCGATGCTCCTCAAACATCATACCCTTCGCACCTATAATCACCTATATATTCCAATTATGTCCAACTCTTGCACCCCACCGAAAAGATGTTGGACCAGCGGCTTGGAAACAATTCCGCATTCCTCCAGCAGCTTCAAGTCTGGAACGTATCTCTCCTGGAATCTGTCAGTATCTGCATGGACCAGCGGAGTAGCAAATGATGAGTTGAAGCCTACAAGAAATATTGAGCCCAAGGAGACAGTGGAGATGTTAGCAGGATCTGAATCTCCACCTCCGTATCTTGTCTTGAGAACGTTTTGGATTCAAGCAGTAACACGACAAAAAGGCAGACATCTTTCAACCCATGCACTGGTCCTTCGAGTGGTCGACTAGGACAAAGTCTGCTGCTTCGTGTTCCAGCCTTGTAGAAACGGAACCAAGTTCCCAAGCTCCATGGGAATCGTTTCACCTGTAGTAACAAGAAGCTTTTTAGTATGTCCTTAAAGTTCCTTAGTAATGCTTTCTAGTAATAGTAACTAGAAGCTTCCTTCTGAATCGTTTCACTGGGAATCGGTTCACCTGTAGTAACAAGAAGCTACTAGGAACGGTCTTTGAAGCTACTAGTAAGTATCTCTTGTTCCTAGTAGCTTCTTTGTTCCTAGTAGCTTCTTGCTCCTAGTAGTAAGGCCAGGAGCCCCTAGTAGCGTCCTTGCTCCTAGTAGCGATGCACTTGTTTCTAATAGCTTCTTTGTTACTACTAGTAAGGCACTTGTTACTAGAAGCGACGCACTTGTTCCTAGTAGCTTCTTAGTAACAAGAAGCTTTCTAGTAGCAGATTCAGAAAAAATCGAGTCTGCACAAAAAGAAACGCATCCGGCTCGGCACCAAAAGAAACCCCTGATTGCCTGTTGGTAATGTTGGCGATCTCTGAGTGCACCGTGCCCATCCAAATCTTCACCTGCAAAAACATCATCCTTATAATATCATGTGTTGCTATTAATCACACCTAGCATATTCAACGGACATGATATTATGTCAATGTCATATAATGTCATGTCCAAAGTGATGAGTGATGAGGAGTGCTGATTAGCCAGTAACTCTTGTGTGAAGACAAAAAAAAGTCCTTGCCTTGTCGTCTAGGCCTGCAAACTCGATGATCTTTGTTGCAATGGCAGCAAAAAGTTCATCCTCGCAGATTCAAGATGTCGGCAGACTTTGCACCTTTAGAGAGAGCCAAATACCTTCCAAGGCATTCCATTTATCTCGAAAACATAATTGAACTATGCACGTCTGCCAAAGCCGTTGGCTTCAAAGGTACTGCAACGACCAAGCTGTGCGCAGCAGGACCTTGCGCAACTTGCACACACTTCAGGAGCAACCTGTCCTTTTCAACACTGAGGAGCTTCCCTCCAGCTGGCAGGTTTCGAGCTATCCGTAGGGCACTGTATCCACCTGTGCAACCCAACTTCCCAATCTTGCAATCTGAAGAAAAGCATAGCTGCTTAGCCTTGTCAAGACAAAAATCTAATACAATTAATATACGTATTATAGCTTAGAATATTACCAATATCAAAGGAGCAGGGCTGCGAGAACTCCAACAGCTAATTTCAAAGTAGAAACGCTCACGTGTGCAATATTCAGAGACCAGAACTTTGCAGAACCACAGCTGATAGAATCAACTCATGGGCCTCAAGATCATGTTCTTAGCTCTGATGATGGTGAGAGGGGAGCAAAAGACTCCAAATCTCCTAGGGCCTCCTTCTGAACAAGCTACAATTCCAATAAGCAAAAGTGTGTCACGTTGCAGGCGATATCAATTGAGCATGGCGCTTGGTTAAATCTTAACACAGTGAAAAAGCAGGAATTCCTTGCACAGTGATGCTCTGCTCTAAGCATGCAGTGTCTGAGAGCTGCTAACTGCTAAGGGTTACCACGACGTGTCAGTAGAGTCGTGTTTCTTGCAAGTGCAGTTGCTATTGGATCCGAACGTACAGTTGAGCTGTGTCGAAAACCTATTGGAACTGGCTGTGTATTTCGCGACCACAGTTCTTTTGCGGGCATACACTATATTTGCTTAGCCCTTTCGTGGGACCTTTGGCGAAAGAAGTTTTAAAATCGACTGCCGACACCTATATGTACAATAAACATGTCATCCAAAATGTCCTTTCGCATATTCCTTTCGCAGCCATGTGTTTGTGATGTCTTTCGCAATAGCTTTCTCGAAGCTTTCGTGACTTGAATTTTGCCTTTCGCCGGGGTATGCCAGGACAACTGCATGACACAAACTCTTCATGGAGGTTTTTGATCGGGCTCAGTTGTTTTGTAGCAAATTTAAAAATGCCTTCCAAAGGATGTGGGAGGGTGATCAATACTCTCATGATGCAAAACCCAGGAAACCAACTTTGTCGAATTCAAAGTGCTACAACATCCAAGTCTTCGACGTTCCCTTCCAACCCATTGAGTTCACCCATGGATTGACACCAGATGGAGCGTTGAGTGTTCGCCAAGGCACAGTAAGTGCCCATCTCCAGGCATCGCACTGGCGCTCCGGAGGAAGCCTCTTTCAAAAATGCGACTCATCCTTTCATGTTGTGTTTGGTGTCAAACGACAAATGCATGCTGCATACAGTAAATATAATGTCCGCAGTGTCCCGCGGCCAATCATCAGACCGTGCAGCAGTTTGAGGGCGAACTGTATGTATTGAATCAAAGGACGAGTTTGGGGCGTGTATTGTCAATGCTTTACAGAGTATTGGAGATCCATAGTCCATAGCAGTCTACAAATACTTGGGGCTTGAAAGCCCATTGATCACAGCTCACAATACATGTGATGCTGAAAACATGGGGAAGGTTACTGTACATACAAAAAACCGTTCCAAGTCTGAGGTGTGGCTGTGAACCCCACTCAAAATTCAGAACTGGCCTTGGCTTGAACTTTGTCTCTGACCGCCTCCTCAATCTTGAGCCCGCGTACATTCCACTTTTCTGCGCCTTCAAGCCCGACACGTCACACCAGTCCGACGGAAGCATTCTGCAAGCTGCAAGCTGACTTTCCTTCAGTTTACCCACTTTCGTACGGTACTCTTCAGATTATACAGATTAAATATATTTATACATATAATCTATATTTACATATATATATAATTATGAACACAGTCACAGCCATGTTGCCATGCATATGCGATTGCTCATTGAGTTCTGTGGTTCTCTGCTCTTCGCCACTAGTACCTTCAAGCAGACTCCACCCAGACCTTGGGCTTGGAAAGTCTTGTTCCAAAAAGCATCCATGGCAGCAAGGACCTCATACTGCATGCTTCGAGAAGCATTGAGTTCTGCAATCAATCCATCATCCATCACTGCTGTATTTGCGACTAAACCAAAGAGAAAAGAACCTTCAAGGGTTGTATATGTTTGCCCAAACAATGAACACTGTCGGACTACGATATTATATCGGCAAGTACTCCATCACCACAGAAAAGGGACTGCCACAACATCCTTGTGATATAGATACAGAATGATACAGAGCAGTTCGCAATGGCTACGGAATGTGAGTACATCATAATACCGTACATCTGACAATGTACCGTGAAGTGGCCCCACCTATCCATCGTAGAGGTCTCTGAAGGTAACTTTCTCATGTCAGAGACCTCCAATGTCTGCTAATATGGGAGGATTGCCAGCAGATTCTCATTCGATGAATTGTCGGCAAAGGCCTTCAAGATAGATAGATGGTCATTGCAAACTTGATTTGGCTTCAACAAGAACAAGCTTTGTGCTCCTGAGATTGATCTTTGGCGAAATGTTAATTCATGCTGCAAATTTATTTTTGTTGTTGGGTCTGTGCGCTTCCAAGAAGGTTCTTCTCAGCCACACCGGGGCCAAAACAAACCGCATGAATGTGATGTGACCAAGCTGGCCCTGAAAGCTGTTGGCTTCATAATTCCTGCAATTATATGGGTTTGTATTTTTTTTAAGGTTCCCGGGCCGGGATGTTTGACTATGGGGGTATGCTTCGGAGGTATGCTTCGGGGGTATGCTTCGGGGTATGCTTCGCGCAGTGTGAAGACTAAAGTAGTAGCATTTTCAGAGGGTATGCTTCGGGGGTATGCTTCGCCTAAGTCGAACATCCCAGCCCTACATAAACTGGACACCTTAAAAAAAGACAAGCCCATATGAGGAACGCTCAAAACTCCTTGTCCTTCTTCAACAGAAAACTGACGCTATCGGTGAGGTGGCTCATATACTTGTTTGGCCCAGCAATCGCCCAGACACACTGTCGGGGTTGCCGGGCTCCGCATTGGCAACGACGTGTTCCAAAAGGAGGCGCTCCAAACCGTGCATCGCTTGGCTGCCCATACGCTGGACCTGCCCCTTCGCCTGCATGAGCAATGATCACACCAATTTCGGGAGCTGCAAAACTAGGAAGAATTGGTTTAGGGACAAGTGGCCTCTGCGGTTACCATGTCAGGCGCAAAGGAGCGCGTCTGCACTGGGAACACCTGCGAAAAAATGTCTAGCGATACCAATAGAAACTTTACAAAGTGCCCCACAAACATCATGGCATGGATCTGCTGGGCAAAAGCAAATGCATCCTCACCTCTGGAATGCTATCGTTCACAACGTCACAAACTTCTTTCATCCATCCGTGTTTGTCCTCTTCCTCTCCGCCTGGGTATGACAACTCCACTTGTTTTGATTCTGAGAGATGCATTTGTTTCGAAGTTCAGGCTGAAACATTGAATTCCAGTGAGCTGACTTCGCAGGCCCGAAATGACATCCTTGGAGGTTGCGGAATCTGAACAAGGAGGTGGTTGTCCCGCATCTTTCACTACATGACACCTTGTCAACAAGAAAAATCATCAAAGTCATCCAAGCGCAGCCCTGCTTCAAAGTCTTCAAAATCATAGACCTTGTCCCCGAAGCTGATGGAGTTAACCTTGACCACCACAGCCGCTGTGCCACACATACCTGAAACAATCCCAGACCCACAGGGCGAAGGTGCTCACGCAGGCTTTGGGTTGAGCTGCAACGATACAACAGCTACAAAATACAAACAATAAGCTAATAGCTTCTTGTTGCTGCTAGTAAGGCACTTGTTACTAGAAGCGATGCACTTGTTTCTACTAGCTTCTTAAATCTCCAGCCGTTTCCAGCCACGGCACCAATTTCTTTGAAGTTTCCAATCTCTTTCTCGAAGTCGATGGGTCTCTCTTCCACAATCATACCACGATCCTTCGCAAGCTGCTGCAGCATGATGTTGGTCGTGGACTGCAAAATCGTGTCAGACTTGGGTGTCACATAGCGGCCATCCTGACTTGAGGTTTGACAACGACCAAAGCAACGATGTCTGTACTTTGTCAATATATTTTGCTTACTGCTTACAATTATGTTTCTTCCTCCTCTTCTTCTCATTATTCTGCTCTTTCGTCTTCTTGTTTTACTTTTAATCACTATAGTTATTCCTCTACTTCTTCTTATTCTTCTTCTTATTATTCTTCTTATTATTATTCTTCTTCTTCTTCTTCGTCTTCTTCTTCCTTTTCCTTTTCTTCCTCTTCCTCTTCCTGGACCTCTTCGTCTTTGTCTTCGTCTTGGTCTTCTTCTTCTCTTCCTCTTCTTCTTCTCCTTCTCCTTCTCCTTCTTCTTCTTATTGTTATTCTTATTATTACTATTCTTCTCTTCATTTTCTTCCTCTTCTTTGACTACTACTACGGTATATAATTGACATGTCACATGTTGCAAGTTGTTTTTTAAAGAGAAGTTTGGCTCAATTGGCTCAAAAATAAAATCAGAAGTCTTCCGAGCCGGTGCAACTTGATTCCAAAAGATTGGAAAGAACCATTGAATAGCAAAACGTTGTTACCTTCGAATTGCCAAGCAAAAACCTCTTAATTGGAAGAAACAGTTTCGCCAAAGGGGCGGAAGGACATGCTGAAGCGGGATGCTTCTCAAGAGGAGGCAAGGGCGGGTGGATGTCAAAACTCGGTTTGAGGTCTCCGGCACCCCTGCACCTCAAAGAACTCCCAGGTTATTCTTTGGTGTCCAAATCGCAGTTTGTTTTGGAGAGGTCTTGTAGCATTTTTGTGGACGCCTCGACATCCTAAGAAGCAAAGGAAAGGAGTGAAGGGTGTGGCAGCGAGTCCGTCTAGACTATCCTGAAACTCCATCATGCCATATTTCTTTCATCATCAACCGCTGTCGAAGTTTGACGGCCCGACAGAGAAGTAAAGAAAGCAGCTAAGATCGAGATCTTGCTGCCCTATTTCCTATCCAACACCGTGTGCAGTTTGGGCCTACTGGTGCAATTCATCATTGCACAGCAGGGGCAACACAGGAAGCGAAACTTCAAGTACAGTAGAACAAATCCTGAGCTACCATCACTAAAACCTCCATGGGGCGTTACTTCAGACCTTTAGTCAACGAGTGGATAGACCGGGCACATTGGAACAGTCTTACAAAATCCGAAAAGGTTCTTCTTCCAACAAATTTTCCTGCCTCAAAAAGAGTTGTTCCCCCCAATTAAGACTAAAAAAGCTCCCCTTATAGAGTCTATGATTCAAAACAAACCAAACAGACATCGGCAAGATTGAAACAATACCAGGACGCACCAAGTTTAAATAGAAAACATCCAATAACATGTATTGTTCCAAGCAGTGTCATTTCTCCCCAAACCGTGTTGATTCAACAATGTGTGTGGCGAGTATGATTCCCAAACCAGGTAAAGATTCCAGTTGTGCTTCCATCAGAACTATGACTCCAAGAAGGAAAGACAACCGTGGTCCAAAGCAATACAGAAATTCCACAAATGGATCACAAGTTGCGATTCTTTCGGAAATTGTGCACCACTACACAAATCCAGCAAAAAACTATGCAATCAAACCTGTTTTCCTAGTAGTGCCGATTTGCCATTTAAATGACACGAACCTAGCAAAAAAACAATAGTGTTCGATCTCTTTGCTTGGTTTGCGGTTTGTGTAATGAAAATGTTCAGATTCAGGGCTTCCATTACCAACCAAATCGTCCCACCGGCAAATTCCCAAGTACTGTCGTACAGGGGACCAATAGATACTCGCAGTAGCATCCTTGCTCCTAGTAGTAAGGCCAGGAGCCCCTCAGTAGCTTTATCGTTACTAGCCCTTAGTAGCGTCCTCTTGTTCCTAGTAGCGATGCCCTTTGCGGACCCGGGGCCAACACGCTGCTGGAGCGTTGCTAAGCCCATGATGTCTATTCTTGGTCTGGTCCAGCCTTAGTGATGCCCACAAAGTTGCACACCGAGAACTCCTCGATGAACTTGCGTTCCTTGGCATCTAAGTACCTGAGCACTCGAGGGAAGCGCCAACTCCTGGCAGGTATATAGGACGTCAGGTCTTGAGTGCTCTTAGGTTGGAAGCCACTAGGTTGGAGGCCATCGCTCTTAGGTTGGAGGCCATTGCTATTATATATATATATACACGTATGTGACTCCCGTAGGAGCACACACTGGCAGCGGCCTATCCTCAAACCTCTACCAACTCCTAGAGGCCTCTAACCTCGAACCTAAGGGATCCTACCCTAACCTATCAAAAGGGACCTCCCTTCCCGCGGCCGCGCTCTTTCACTGCCGGCACCACACGAGTCCTCTCGTTCCTTGAGCCACCGGCGAACCGATGGATGACATCTCGAAGGTCAACTTCTCAGGCAGAAATCACACCGATACTATTTTCTTTTTCGAGATGCTTACTCAACAGCTTGCTTTCGAAAACCTTCTGCCCATCGTTCTCCATACTTTCTATTTGCATTCACTTTTAGTGTACTGGTTTCATCGAAAATGCGAAATTTACCGATGGCTAAAACCTTCCTCAGGAAAGTGGCGTCCATGGGCTTGGTAAGGCAATCAGCTAACATGATAGCTGTAGAAATCCATCGACAAGTGGCGTTGCCTTCAGCTTGTTCTTTGATCTGCATAACTTCAATTGTGGTTCTCCACTCTTGACAATTTGGGACAGCAAGTTTGGTGACAAGATCGAACAGTGATTTGCAATCTGTGACCAAAAGAGCTTTTGGTTGTTGACTCAAAGCCTTTTCTGGTTTTTGCCATTGGAAGTTTGGATCATTCACAAAGCTCCACAGGCAACGAACCCAAGTCAGTTTGTCAAGTGAGCTTGACATGGCATATGCTTCGGCACTCAAAGTTGACCTTACAACTCTGGCAATTTGCTTTGATCCCCACGCAATTGGTGAGAATTCGGACACTTCGTTCTTTCCTAGTTTTTCCGTGGTAGCCATGATAAACAAACCTTGTTGGGCTTTAAGTTGCTGTTCGGAAGCAAAGCTGGCATCTCCAAAGCTTGCAAAAGTCACTTCGTTCAATGGAATTGGTTGGACTAGGATGGAGGTTTCCGAAGTGTTCTTTGCTTCTCTCAGAACCTTATTTCCTTCCATTAAGTCTGCTACTGTGGCCTTTGGTATCCTTTTTTGAAGGAATGCTACCTTTGCTGTAATATCGGGCCTGGAATGAACTGCAGCATATTGCAAACTTCCGCACAAAGCTCTCAATTGTTGCAACTCGAATGGAGTGATGCTTGAGTTCTCTTCTTTCCTTCGTGGTTTTGGAATGTCTATGGGATCGATTTTGCTGATGTAATCGGCTTGGCTTACTCGAATGGAATAATCGGTGTTTTGCTCAATATCCAAACCAGTGAATCGAAACTTCTTATATTCTTTCTGTCCGAAGGGAAGATGTTGTTGAACCATGGTCAAAGCTTTTTCGAATTCTTCAGTCCCTCCCCCTATTCCATCATCAACATGAGTGCCCAAAATACCCTCCAATTTGTGAGGGTTTCGTTTGTTCCGCAGCATGAACAGACAGGCATCAAGAGGATGAGCTTCGAATCCTGCTGCTTCCAAGGTTTTCCTGAACTCTTTGTAGAACAATATGGGGGCATCAACTCTTCCGTATGCATTTCCCTTGAGGAGGCACACTTCATTCAAATTCAGTCCTAACAGTTGCTGCAATTCTGGGACTGGGTGCATTGCTAGAACTCGGTGATCTGAACGACCTCGCAAAAAAGCAGTACGAATGTCAAAACTTTGGAGGTTCCATTTTCTACTGCTTATTTCTTGAAGGATGATCATTCTTCCATCTCTGGAGAGCGTGGGTGATTCAGTATTCACCGTGGATGCATCAGGATCTTCAAATCCTCGAACTACCAACCTCGCTTTAGCCTTCCGGCCTTGAGGTGAAGCAGGGTCCACTTTCCATGTCAATATCCATCTTGATGACATGATTCTGGATGGATGGATTCTGTCCTTTAAGATTGGTTCGATGGATGAGGTCTCAATCCAACATCCTAGTTCTTTGTCCTTGGCCTGGTCGAATTCTTTCTTCTCGGCAGGACTCAAGGTCTTGTATTGAACCTCCACATGATTTTTCTTGGCGGCTTTGGCAACTTTGTCGACATGGAGACTGGGACTCATGCAGAAATCGGTCAAATACTTGGCAGGTATATCTATCTCAAAACTGCAGAAATTGGCGTCTATGATTGAGGCGTCTTCTGCAACAGACCACAATGTTCCATTGTCTTGCACTGGATCTGCTTCTGGATCATTAGCTTCTACAATGCACACATTGTATAGCGACTCCCCTGAATCCCCTTCTGATTCATTCTTGGTTTCCCCTTCCCCTACAGGATCACTGCCCCTATCTGGATCCTCTGTGCCCCTACGAATGGACTCTGCAGCATCATCGACAGGTCTTTCCCTACCAGGTTCATGGTCATTAGAATCACGTGGCTCTTCACTATTATTTTCAGTTCCAAGAGGTGCCACGGGAAGTTCCTCTGCCTCTGAATTACGACGGTGTGGTTCTTCTTCAGGCTGAACCCCACTTCTTCCTTCGGGCTCATGCTGGGCTTCTGGGTCAACATCCGTCAAATCCGAGAATTGGAACATTCCGCTTCTTTCACGAAGTTGGTTCTTCAGCTGGTTAGCCATCTCTTGCAAACGTTTCTCATCACAGTTTTGATGCAAGCGTGCAACTTGATTAAATTCACGAATTGAAACCGGCCTGAGGTTTTCTCTAGCAACACGAAGTAAACGGTTCATGTGAGTCACCCATAGAATTGTTCGATTTTCTTCTAGTACTATTTGACATGGTCCCGTCCACCTCCCTTTTTCGAGCATGTTTGGTGATTTTCTTTCGTCCCAAACCATACATAGTTCTCCACATTTCCACGGATGTTCCTGGCCTCGGGACTGGCGGTTGAGCGCTCTTCGAATTGCTTGACTGTTGTCAGCATCTAGCAAGGCTTTGCGTGCTAGGGATCGAACTTGCATCTTTTGCAGAAAATCTTCTGAACGTGAATCGGCTGGGTTATCTATGGAATGTGCAACAAAGTCTTCATCTCCACAGATTGATGCTGGCAACCGTCTTGATCGTCCAAGTACTGCTTGTTCAGGGCTATAGCCATTTACAACTGTTAGGCTATTCTTGGCTTGGAAACATTGATTTAGAGCAAGGTCGAAATGCTTTTCATCCTTAATCATTTGTTCTTGATCAATTCTACTTAGCATTTCTTTTATTACTCCTCCATGTCTCTCAATTCGACCCCTTTGCCATGGAGCTGCACTGACGATGGAACGAATGCCTTCCTGCTGCAAATAGTCTTTCCAAGACTGACTGATGAGTTCTCCGGCCTCATCATGTTGAACTTCCGTTGGTGGTCCAGCCCAATGTGTCCAGGTTTCTACGAATGTCTTGATGGTACTGTCACTATTCCTATTGCATCTTCGGCCTAGATGAAAATGAGTGGATTCATCAAAGAAGTGCAATACATAGTATTTGTTCCCCTTTTGTCCCTTCCATTCGAAACCATCTAAGGCGACTCTTTCGTTGAATTCTTTGGCCTCTTTCAGCTTCCCTGGGGTTGTCAGCTTGGGAGGCACACGTTCGACGCATGACTGACATTGGTAGTCTTTGGCACCCTCAACCATTTTTGTGGTAAATCCTAATCTTTGCAAATGCTCCCCGAGTTTCTCCGAGACAGGATGTCCTAAATTGTTGTGCATCTTTCGAATCATGGACTGCTGCTTGCTGTTCAATTCAAGGAATTTGGGACCTGAATTGACTGTTGTTTGAGGAGACCATGAAGGAATTACACTCAGTTGAGCTGGTGTTTCCGTTGATTTGGACACACTCGGATCACTGGCTTCAGGCTTGACATCTGCACAAATTGACGAAGATCTGTTGTCTTCTTCTCGCAACTGGCTCGGCAATGGCTTATCTAGGCTGGGCTGACCGATCGACTCTGACTTTGGCTGGTTTTCTTCCAAGGCTTTGGGGTTATTTCCAAAGATGCCTATCATGATATGACTCGGCATTGCTTTTCGTCTTTGCTGCGTTAGGGTCTGTTTATACCATTCCTCAACTCCCAAGTCAAAGATCTTCTGCGACTTTCTACACAAGCAAATGGTTTGACGATGTGTGCACGTCGGGTTCCCTGTCAGATATTTCTCTACCCCTTTTATAGCCTTAATCTCTTTCACATCTTCGATCTGACAGTGTTCTTTAAGGAAGCTTCCAGGCCATGTTTCCAAGTCGATGTTTTGAGCTCCAGATTTTGGTAACAAGCTTTGAAGCTTTTCCATTGTATCTGTCCAGCCTTTTCCGGACAGGGTGGAGAATTGTTCATATTCTTCCAGTCCTCGTTTGCGGGTGGGTGAGTCTTCCACTGGGCTCACCTTTCGCGCCTTCTTTGATCCTGGTTCATCAGTGGGGTCACTCTCGGCTTCCCTAACTGGACAAAGCATGTCTAACACCATGGATGACTGCAACCACGGACATTCGGGAGGATTCCTTTCCTGGAGGATGCTCTGAGCGGCTTTCCTAGCGAAAATACGTGGATAGAATGCAGCAAACCTTGAAACCGCTATTGTCTTCCCTTGGAAAAGACATGACCCCTCGATTTGAGAATGATGATGATTGTTTTCACACTTTCTTTGATCAAGTCTCTTGATTATTTCCCAGGATGTTGTCTGCAATCGGGTGTCCTTCTTAAGTGGTTCACTACTTTGTGGGTGTTTGAGTCCAAATCTGCATTGGTCAAACCTGACTGTCTTGGTGTGTTTGAGAATCTCTTGGACTTCTTCTTGTGACCACATGCTTGATGTTCCAGGATTTTCCATGGTGAAATGTCTTCCACCTTCGAGCTGGAGTTTGCAGACAAACGTACACAGCTTCAAATGCATTCTGGATTGCTCTCGTGCTTCATGGATGTTTTCGAAAGCATGAAGACTGCGTTGGGCATTGAATCGATTCCATGAACACCATGGTGCACACTCTGGAGCAACCCATACGTGCTTGGGACGCAAACGGATGATCATGCGCAGCAATTCAATCTGGCCTTCGAAAGTTGAGAGGTCTCCATGTTCCCTAGTAAATCTTGACGCTTTACCACCTGCATGAATGACTTCTTCAGCTAGGCGACTATTGGGTTGAGCATAGGCTTCCAACAGGTCAATGCTTGGTTTATTGAAGCTATAATTAATTTCACTTCTGAGGGCTCGCAGCCATTTAGCTTCATGTGAATTCGTGACTTGTGTGGCCAAATTGATTACAAACTGCCGTGGATCTGGGCCTCCATTTGTCGGCGCACTTGAGCGTACTTTGCAAAATCGAGGATCGGCATGTTCAATGAATTGATTCGGCTCAGGCACCAACTCACATATTGCTCGTCGGCTTCGTAGACCTGGTAGTACATCTTTCCTGGATGCTTCTTGCCCCAAGTCATGACCTTTCGTCCCCATGATGTCATGGCATCTTGTGTCCAAGCCAGATCGCGACCGTTCGGGGCAAGGAACTCGCCACCTGTCGTTGGCTCTTCGTTCGACAGGGCTCCAGCGGGACTCTGCGGAACCTTCTGCGGTGTCCCGGGCGCTCGAGAACGGACTCCAGTGGCTCCAGTGGGAGCTGCTCGACTTGGTGTCTTTGGCATGCTCGTGATCGTAGGGACATGCATCATCCTGGTGGGCGTTGATGGATGGGCGGTCTTCGCCTGCTCGGTCATCTGAATCATCTCGTCTTCCCATTGAAGGATTTCTCGCTCTGACAGCTCGGACCATTCTGAGCCCGGGTGGGCATGTGATGGAGATGTGGCTCCGGGCATTTTCATGTTCTTGGAGATCTCTTGCAACATGACTTTCTGGCTCTGCACTTCCTGCATCAGAGTCTGGATCTGTAGGGCGTGTTCGTTGGGAACCCATTGTTCTCCATCCTCTTCCACCTGAGTCTGGACTTGGTTCATCAGGAGTGTCAAGAGGATTCGGAGCAGTTGCATCACTGCTTCTGCCGTTTCCTTGATCATCTTCATCACTTCTCGACGATTGGGCATGGCTTTCAAATGACTCTTGGTCCAGGCGATCGTCGACTCTTGATGTGACAAAGGCTGGCACTCGAGGTGGCTTGCACAAGTCACACATGCTGATCATGAGCAGACCTGTCTTACCTTGCTTCAATGGGATGGCACGCTCAAATGCTTGGAAAAAACAGGTGTTTTTCTTAAGATCTAGCACAGCTCCTAACTTGCGCAACGTCTGAATGGACAGCAGGAATGGTGTGGCTTTCGGAACGACTTCGATGATCAACCATATCTGATGCGTACTATTTCTGATAGGTATCCAGATCTGTTTGAAACTATATTCTATTTGATTATTGCCGAAACGGAATCCGATGCGACTTGGTTTCTCTCGGACTCTTTCACGAGTGATTGGGTCTAACATGCTCAGCATCTTGGGGAGAATTTCACTCCCGATGACGCTTCGGCTTGCACCTGTGTCAACGATGGCCAGTCCTCTGGCATCAAATGCTTCTTCTCCGGCTTTACTGGTGCAGCTGTGAAAGATCTGGATTGAACTCGAAGGTTTCGAAGGCTTCGGATGCTCGCTGCAATGCCTGGCAAAATGCGGAGGCTTCAACCGGTTGGCAAAAAACTGTTGCATTTTTATCTTTAGGTCCCCTGTTGGATCGATTGAATTAAAGGCTCTGTGAATTACGACGAATGCATGTTCAGGATTGGATGACATGTCTGGCTCATTGGATGTTCCTACAGTTTGACTGACTCGAACCTGTCTCTCGAGAGAATTGTCCAGGGGCTCGATCACCACTTGGCTGCACTCTTCATTGATGTCTTCGATGACGACATTGGCTTGATCTCGTGGACGGTTGGGGCACTCAGCTTTCCAGTGTCCAAGTTCTCCACACTTCTTGCAATGAGTTCTTGCAATTCGTTGGAGAAGTTCTTCTTTCCCCTTCGAACCCCCTTTCCGAGAACCCTTGCCTGCTCC